TTTGTTAAGAATACTAAAGTGAAGGGTGAATTTTTAAAGCAATTTTATATTTTTTTCAATTACGGTAGAAATAAAATGTTTGTCGTATACGCAATAATGAACTCGCATTTCGCTCACGATTAGCTACCAATGTAAACTTAAACTTGTATTAGAACAATCACAAACTAGTAAAGCGAACAATCTAAACGGAAAAAACAATGATTTCTTCTAAGTATGATTGTGAATGTAATATAATTTGAATGTTATTCCATTTGCAACTTGGAATGATTTAAAACAGACTTGTAGCGAGGAAGAAAAATAAATCCACATCGCCTTGTATCACTTCGAAAATGTATACATATTACTGTTCGATGATTTGATGGTTGACTGGATCAAAAATAAATAAATATATTTTAATGCAATTATGTTTGAAGAGCCTACTTCTGAGAATGTAAAATGTCTTTGTTTTTCCTTTGAACTTCTAATAATTTCCCCCATTATTTCTATGTCTATGTCATCTGGGTTATACCAAGAAGTCTACACCACCACTAAAACACATACGCCCGCATTCTACTACAATCTCGAACCGTAGCCATAGCTTGTAAATACTGTGCTTTAAAAGGATGGCTTTCCAAACACCTTCTTATTTGATGATTATTTATCGTTAAAGGATGTGGATCATACGTGTACGTCACATTGTTTGTTGTGCCATATATACATCTCTGTGTACAGTGCATATGGCTTTAAGCAAAACTGGATGGATATCTTATTATTTTGATTATTCTGAAACCTGACAGTATACACCAATACTTGTGTGCTACGTAATCTACCCCTTCAAATCGGAGCCAATCAATTTCTTTAACGATGTTATGTGTATGACTAGAACCAAATGTATCTATAAATATTGTAGTCGATGATTATTTCCATCGACAATATCCGGTACTATTGTATATTATGTTTTCGATATGCTCAACTATGTTTCTAACTTAGATTTCTATGTGCTCCCGAGTATTCCTATCTTAGTTATGTTAAAACAAGAGAGAATACGAAATTACCTTGTAATGGTAAGCCTTTTCAGATAATGCTTCAAAATATGAATGTATATTCTATGGCCAGTATATAAAAAAATGAAAAAGTGAAGAAGAAAAAAAAATATAACAAAATCACATTGGCTTATACATTATGCAAAACGGATGTCGGATGATTAATTTATTGTCAAGTTCAATGTCTTTATTATTAACTTTACTATTATTGTTATCATTTTTATTTGAGTGATCTAGGACGAATCTAGCTATCACCACTGTATAAACCACACAGTTTTACATGTTGACAAATAGGATATTCTACCTTATATTTCTAAGGTAAGATGTAAGAAAAGTTATGTGGCATGATTTAATGAACAATCATAACAGACATACAAACAAAATGTTTAGGCAGGCATTTAATTCATTTGAAAATGTTTTCCGTTTATTTTGATCGTAACGATAATTCAAACTTATCTCCGATAGAAAGAAATGAAAGATTTGTTAAGAATACTAAAGTGAAGAGTGAATTTTTAAAGCAATTTGATATTTTTTTCAATTACGGTAGAAATAAAATGTTTGTCGTATATGCAATAATGAACTCGCATTTCGCTCACGATGAGCTACCAATGTAAACTTAAACTTGTCTAAGAACAATCACAAACAAGTTAAGCGAATAATCTAAACGGAAGAAGCAATGATTTCTTCTAAGTATGATTGTGAATGTAATATAATTTGAATGTTATTCCATTTGCAACTTGGAATGATTTAAAACAGACTTGTAGCGAGGAAGAAAAATAAATCCATATCGCCTTGTATCACTTCGAAAATGTATACATATTACTGTTCGATGATTTGATGGTTGACTGGAACAAAATAAAATAAATATATTTTAATGCAATTATGTTTGAAGAGCCTACTTCTGAGAATGTAAAATGTCTTTGTTTTTCCTTTGAACTTCTAATAATTTCCCCCATTATTTCTATGTCTATGTCATCTGGGTTATACCAAGAAGTCTACACCACCACTAAAACACATACGCCCGCATTCTACTAAAATCTCGAACCGTAGCCATAGCTTGGTTTACGTTTTTGTTCAAAACCGGGATTTACAAAATAATCTAGTCTAAGGTCTAGGTTTTCTTTTGTTGAACGTATCCATAGACCCAGGGTTGGGTTTAACTGAAATAGTGCAGTTTTCCCATAAAGAAGAATACGGAAATACAATGAAATAAGAATGTTGATTTTTGTTTTACTTCATGTTGGCAGTAACAAATAGATGAATATCCACATTTTTCTCTCACCATGAGCCTGAAAGCTGGTCTATTAGTATACATTATTAAAGGCCTTATCCGATGAAAATATTACTTGATATAAATGGAAGACTGAATGAATGTAGAATACAAATATAAAGGAATGCAAAGTATTTACCCTTTCATTATTGCACAAAAGCAAATTAAAACCTCATTTCCGCAACCCTCCAAATTACAGGTCAACAGTGGTCAAATTTGTCGAAGTTAAAGTGACGAAATAACATGTGGACCCGATCGGTTCACCAAATTTCTGAGGCGATGTGAGCCGTGCTTAATTGAATGCAAAGTCATTGTGAATATGCGTACTCCACATAAGATGAAGTCATGTAGTCGATAGCAAGTTTTTAGGTCGACAACTTCCGATTTTCAAAGCTTAAGATTCTGAGTTTTCAGAGAGCTGGTACTCCTCTGACGGACAGTGAAATTGCATACAATTTATATTATTATAATCTGTGGCTTATAAGCTTTCCGTTGATTTATAATTCGTCCATTTCATTTTTCAGTTAGGATATGGTCTTTAATGGATGACCGATGTTATTTTTAGTATTATTTGTAAGATAACAAATTAAATATGCAACAACACGACCCATGTGAAATAAATTGGAACCTGACAAGAATTTATTCCTGGAAGTGCTAAAGCGCCATTAGGGCGGCCATGCTAAAGCAGTTGAAATCATTAATCGAGTAGCAGTAGCGTTAGGAGTCTTAAGTCTGTCAAACATGAGTGCTATAATTATACAAGAACCAACTTTTTTTAAAATTTTATACTACTTATTTCACTGTTTAGCAGCATATTTCAGATGTTTCTATAATGACTCTCTTTCTCTTCTTGAAAGAGTTTGGTCCGCAGATCATGGAGCTCTGCTTTCGTGAGCGCGCTCTCCAAGCCTGAGCGCTGTTCCGTAGCATTGGTCTTTGACCGCCATTTGAGGAGCAACTCACGCGTTCCTCTTTCGGTGACCTTGCCCTCGGAGCGATTGGTCTCGAGGCAGCGTCGTCGACTGACTTGCCCGATGTCCAGAGCCTGCATGAGAGACTCGAGTACCTCGTCGTTATCTATCTGGTCCGCGACCTTGAACAAAATGTCGTCTTCAACGCTCGCCAAACGCTTCCTTAAAGTAAACATATGTACAGTTAATAACTAAATTATTCATTCCCCTCATCAATTTGCTGGGTTTTTCGTGACTCAAGAATAGAAGGTGTACCGGTTAAAGTAAGGCCTGTGTTGGATATTTTTAGGTGTATAAGGTTTAATATGTCGAATTCTTAAGACAAGTAAATCTCTACAAATGACTTGTTTGCAAACTTAAAAAACAACGTAACTATATAGAATAGTATATAGTATAAGGTATAACATATAAAACATATTAAATTGCCACGAACATTTCGTAAAGCAAAAAACAGGTATCAATGACGCGGAACAACGGCTATGGTTACTTAGTCTTAGGAAAAGTAGACTTACTTCTTTTGGCTTTTGCTTTCTGGTTCATCATCATCGCTATCCACTACTCTTCTTTTTGCAGCTAAAAGGATTAGAAAAGAAAGAAAATAAGTGAATTTCACTCTTGCCATTAGGATGTTTCGTCTACATTTTATTTCATGCGTAGTTTCATTTTCACATAATAAAACTAACACACATTTAAAAAACAATCTCTACAATGGCCATGATGGCGGGAACTAGGTACTTTATACACCATGATCGACGATCGGAATTGTATACAAATAATAGTTGCCAATATAAACTTGTAAATATACCATTTTTTTTAAAAGCTTACAGAGAATAATATATCAAAAATGAAAACAAAATTAAGAGACTTTGGTTGAAACATTCATGAAGCAAAAATGTAATATTTAAATTTAGTAAAAATACATGCAAAAAGGTTTTACCTTGTATCACGGTTCTGAACTGAAGAGACGCCCTGTTAACATCTATCTTGTTTTTGTCTCCTTGGAAGAGTTCAACGGCCATGTTTAATTCGTTCTCAGGTTTCTGGCTGTAGTCTAGCTCCACAAAGAGGGCGTTTCTCTCTAACTGTAGAACATTGTCTTGGCTGATTGTCTATAAAGGTATTATAGCAATATAAATAAGGGGCGTACGCAGGGGGGTTTTGGGGGTTCAAACCCCCCCTTTGGTATTTTTATGTATGTAAACCCCCCCCCCCCCCTAAAAAAACCTAAAACCCCCCCCCCCTTTTTTTTTTTTTTTTTTTTTTTTTATTTAAAAAAAAAAAAAAAAAAAAAAATTATACTCACGGCTAACCTAAATTAGGTGACCTTACCCCCCCCCCCCCAACGACAAAAAATGTCAAATTATGAAATTTCGAGACCAAAAAAAAAAAAAATGTGTCCGCTTTCTCCCCCCCCCCCCCCCCCCCCCCCCCCCCCCGACGCTAACGACGCTTTTAATGATATGCAGAACTGTGCTTGTTCAGTTTTGGTTTGTATATATATCTCCAGATTTATAGAACAGTTTATTACCATTTTTGTGTTTCCGTCACACACACACACACAGATGCATATAAATGCGTTAAGTTGTGTTGCGGCCATTTAATCAACACTTAACTAAGTCTATTGACTATTGGCGGGGGAAAAAAGGATATTCATGGAGTTACAGTATTTGTCATTTATACTGGGCCAGACATTTCTTTGAAGAAAAAAAATTACGATAACCCCTGTGTATTCCCTGTTTAGAACGGGCTGCCCGAACACCCAACCTGTCCGGACAAACAACAATTTGGTATACACTTGCCTTCTTGAATTCTCGACGTTTCTTATCTTTGATGACAATCTGTAGGTCCGTCCCCGTTGGCCTAACCAGCAGTTCACACTCTTGAGTCATGGGCTTTCTGAACCCATACAAGGTTTCCTCCTTCTGGATACGCTAAAATATGACAAATAAACGAAGTTATTGGTTAGAAACTACTGTGAGATATTCAAGTGGGCATTCTTTAGTAGGTCCCCAGGAAAGAAACATCCGTGAATTTGATTATTTCATTCAAGCAGTCCCTTGCACAATATTACAATATAAATAAAGACAAAAGAAAGAAAAGATACATTCTTTTTGTTCATAGCCTATACCATATTTGTATACAAATAAACTATTACCCCGGTCATTGGATTCAATATTTGAATAAACTACAACACTCATGTTGGCATTTTTCCGTCCGTCCTCAGGAAAGAACCATCCATTAATTTGAATATTTTAGTTAAGCAGTCGGTTGCACAATATTACAAAAGAAATCATTCATATTTAGTAGTACATTGTAGATCAGTTGCTACTATGCAGATCTATTGTATGATGCACATTTTCTTCGATATAAATGTATTCATCTGCTTCCTAATCTGTACATAATGTTGTGTTAAGTTTTTCTTTTGAATAAAACAAAAATATTACAAAAGAAGGGTATTTTATATATTTTTTTGTCTCCTCACCTCACTGTGGCCTTCCGTCAGGTCATAGATGGAGCATCGGACGATGGGTCTTCTTGTTCTAGGCATCTCAATAGGCACGAAGGGAAGACATCCGACTTTCTTTCCATGAATGAAATTCGATTTGATGCGTATCCAGCAGTCTGCGAATTGCTTCACGTAGATGTTGATCCTGTCTCTGAAGAACTCGCAACCGGGTGGAACAAGTTTTGTCCTCGTGATGTTTTGATCTGCAGCAAAAGTAATGAATAATTGAAGAGCTTAATTCCAAAAGGAGCTAAGTCCACTTGTGATGAGAGTTGAGTTATTAATATCAGGAGATTGTTCACTTAAGTACCCGTCTTTCAACACAATTATTTACCTACATTTTTTTTTTTTTTGGGGGGGGGGGGGAAATTATGAGAAAATGCACCTTCTAATATTACTTTTCCGTAGACGCCTGTACACATTCTGGTAAACAAATTCTTTTTTCTCCGAAGTTACAAAAAAGGATTTAGCTCCTTTTGGATTTAAACTCTTCAGATTAAAGAATTATTTACCAGTTCTCAATCTGTCTGCATTTACAGGGGGTAATAAAAACATTGTCTATTAAAAGTTTGTTAACTCAATTTCATGTTATCCATTCCAAGCACGAAAAGAAATCATAACTGCAATGGTCTAAAGGATCATTACTGTAACAAAGTAAAGAAAGGAATACGGTTATTGAAATCGATTAATCTAGCTCCAAGTTGCTAAACGGCATTGGTTCTAAGCTTTGGTTAAAAGTTAGAGTAACTCTCAACTTTGTACTGGTGTGTTTATGTTGTATCATGTTTATATAATATGCTTATCTTATTATGCATTATGAGCGAGTAACTTAATTTCTTAAATTTTCTGAGCAATGTCTTGTCTCATATTTGGAAAAAATTATCAAATGTACATAAAGAAAATATAAATGTCGAATTAATCATATCAATACAAATTTAAAGAATATGTATGTTTGAGAATACGATATAGAAATCAACAAATCAATTATCAATGTTTACTTTAAAAAGCGTTAGCATAGCATTACCAATATTAATGTAGCTGAACAAGCTGTAAAAAGGTAAGAAATACGGAGCCTAAAATGCAAGATGCATAATACTTTTGAAAATTGTTATTCTACCATCATAAAGCTAGAACATATTCGTTATCATATAACCTGATAAATACAAAGAATGCGTTGAATAGACTTAAAGATAAACTCCAGTTCTGGTAAAAAAAGAAGGAAATAAATTCTCACAGAATCAAACGAAACTTACATTGAATGTTCAAGATTACAAATAAATGTCATGTGCCAAACGATATTGGAAGAAAATGTATACTGGCTGAGTAATGAACATAGAAAGAAAAGGAAATCAAGGTAGTACTAGCCCCGACACCATGTGTGTTGTCCCATATAAAGCTTCCTGTGTACAGTGCTTGTTACTTTACCAAGACTCGGTCAAATTTATTATGATTTTGATGACTCCAGAACCTTGCAGTGCACACCAATACTTACATGCTACATGATCAACTGTTTCTGATCCTTTCCACACCTTTTCTTTCACAATGCAATCGCATTACCAGTACTAAAGTTTATCTTTAATGTTACCTAAACTTTCATTCAGATACGTCACATAGGAACTTTTGATTCATCACTGTTCACTTTCATCTCAGGGCAAGTGTAATTATGTTGTTTATCCTCAGAGATTACAGAGAACTATACCTCCGGATCCTCGCTGACTGTCCTCTCGAGTGTAAAGCAACAGTTCGCCCTCTCCCGACAGAATTTGTTCAGTCAGCTCAGCGCAGTGGGTAAGTGTGAGTTGTACAGGGTCTCGAAAGGTCAGACCGGAAGGAAAACATCTGACGCTAGGGCATAGTGATACTTCGTCTTTTGATGTGAATTCTTCCGGAAGTTCCTCTCCAAGAAGCTGGACTTTGATGTCTCTGTTACCTGCAGGGAATTTTGGCGAGGGTAAAACAATGTCTTTTTACATATTGTTAATAACAAAAACTCAACTAAAAGCCCACTTTCTCAGTCAGGAATCACAAAGACCTTCGATAAGTAAATATCAGGCGATTTGAATAACTTTAATTGATGATTGTTACCAGTACTACATTGATGTAATCCAAACATTATTTCATTACAAAATTTGCCCTTGACTAAATCTCTCGAACTCCTTTCTCATCATGTTTGCATAATTATGTAGGCCTACGTCGATTACATTTCCATGGATGAGGCAGTTTCGAGTAATTGAACAAGAATTAACAAAATATACAAAAACATTTACAACAAAATTGAAAAATGGATAAATAAATGAATAAATATTTTTTTTTTAATCGAATAAACATTCGTGAATATATTAACAAATAAATCATTAAATCAAACAATCGACAGCAAAAAAGGCAAAATATATGAAATAAATATAACTTTTAACTTTTCCAAAGTTTAACGGACATTTCTTGAAATGTTATATAGATCTAGAAACAAAATAACAAATATTCAACATTAATGTTAAATTATACCTGTCAAGGCACCTGATGGAATGTTCAAAGTGACCCCGTGACCTTTGACCCTCAGGATACCTCCCTTACTCCCGATGGTTTTCCTAGCATACGGTTCATCTGAAGATGGAGACTTTCTCAGATGTTGTTCCACTAGATTTGTTTATAAAGTATAAATACAAAATTATAAACAATACACGTTTTTAGAGTAACATTGTACGTTGAAAAAGATTAGGCTTATTTTCTTTAAAATATGACGGAGCTAAGAATGTCTGACAACAAATATTGTTGTTTTAACGTATTCAGAGTTCAAATTAAGATTATTTGTTTTTAAATTTCTTTAATAACTCAATTAAGATTTAAAAATAAATGATCACACTCGTTTTGAAAAGACATCCACCTTTCCAAATAGCTAAGTTCAAAATGACAAGGTAAATTTAGCTATTGATTTGGATCAACCGCAAGTTCTCTAATTTATAGCAAGTTTGCAGTCTTATGCCTATTTCATTTTATTTCATTTGATTTATTTCATTCTTCAAAAAACATTAAAACATACAAACATGATATACAGATAAAGATCGATAACACCAAAAATACAAAGGGAAGGAGCAAACAGAATTGTATGGTAATGCGGGGTTAACAAAAAGGGCAATTAGCCTTATGAACGTCAACCCCTTAATCATATGTATTAACATAGTTGCGCCTGATTTCAATAGCAATTAAATTGCGATTTTTGTTTATAAGACGCGGCTCTAGAAAAAACCAATAATAACATTGACAGATCGTCTATGTAAGTAAAATAAAATTTCAAATGAAAGAAATGACTACTGAGAAAAGTTTGAATGTAACAGGCATATCAAAAAGATTTTTTAAAAATATCAATGGTTTGTTTTCATGAACTTTGTGTCAGCGATTTTACCTATATTATTGAATGAATAAATACCTCTTTCCACTTAAGGCAATAAGGTTTGATTTAATTTTCTTCCATGTATTTACAACAAAATTGCAACGCTATTTTTTTCCGTGTTATCACTTTGAATTGTATTCGATTTTTATTTATTGGTTTGGTTTTATAAAGAGTCTCCAGCAGGGCAGATTGCGACGGTCACTCTACACGGTAAAACAAATCTACCGGGTCATTTCAAATCATATAAAAGATTGACGATAGTATTTGAGAAGAAAAACAAATCATTCGAGGCTTCGAACCTACTTATCGTAAATATAGTTGTGGTACAAATTCAATACTCCGTTTTAAGAACTTGCCCTCCGTTATTTTAAAGTTATATATTATACAGTGAAGTATCAAGATGCCCATTATTATAACATGTATACAAATAATATATCTTACCGTCTTTATTGATTAGTCCACGATCAAAGTCACAAGTCAAACAGAAGAAAAAATGGTTATAAATGATGTTGTATAACATTCGTAAATGCGCATACATGATTTGGTTTTGAATACAAATGAGAAATACATATACAAATATAGATAACTGTAGAGTACATGTTCACCTTATGATTGTAACTCCCATTATTTGTAACGTTACACTTATGTATTTATTTATATTGCAGGTACTGAATGCCTCTTTAAAGTCCTTTTTTTAGTAAAATTTAATAGTCACAGCGGCTTTTTTGAGATGCGCTTGGTAATGTGAACGTGCTATAAGCATATATCTAAATCTTCGGATGTACTATGGTACATGATATTATTTACTTGATGCAGTATGTGTCATATTATTACAAGAAGAAAAAAAAGTTGTTCTGCTGTACATAATATTCCTTCTGTTTTGCTATATACACTGCATTGTAAATTGATTGATGTGACATATATGATAATACACCGAATATTGATTTGTTACATGTAAATTGATTTATATGTTTATAAACAGATTATTGATGTACATTAATGAAGTTTGATAAATACAATACAATACAAATGCAGAAGCCAAGATGATTGAAAAGTATATTAGCATGATTGAAAACAGTTTAATACTTACTTCCTTAATGTTGTTTATCGTGAAAGAAAATAACAAGAGATGTTGATTAGTAATAGGTTGAAGGATTTACTATATAACGGCTATATCACAGATCTGAGGAGAAAATACATTAAAGCCCCACTGCACTACGTTTAACTAATTGCGCCCTCTATATAACAAACAATGCCTAAGTGGTGACCGTTGGTCCCCCATGGTCCCCTTTTCTTATGTTAATTGAGAGCTGATTTGATGAGAAAACCACCTGTCAGTGCCTAGCAGGGAGGTCTAATCCCTCCTGGCCAAACTAGTGCAGATAGACTTTAAGTTACACAAACTGTTTTATGTACTCGGATACAGAATATAGCCATAGGCTATATGTTCTAATTTCTGGTAGGTCACCAAGTTAAATATGTGAGAAAAGGCATCACTGAAATATCTTTACGGAAACCATCATTATTATTTTTTTTGCATTACAGGTACCCCCTAAACAATATATATATATTATGGGTCTAAATAACGTCGCCATTACAAGTTATCGTCATTGATAACACAATCAGCTTGTGTAAATCCTGAAAAACTATGCCTAGATGTTGGTATACGCAAATAAATGATGAAGGTCACATATTAATCATATTTGTTTCATATCCTCGAAGCATATTTGTCAAGGGGCAACAAGAAGGTCACACAATTTAAACAAAATTTTATTAATAAGTAATATACTTAAGGATAGTATAACAAGTAGAAAGAAAGAGGAAGACAGAAAAAAATGACTATCAACACTTACCCACTATATGTTCAGCAAGATGGGCAGGGGAGGTGAAGGGGAGAATACAAAATATTTAAGTATGTTGATTGCGATATTTATTTCAGAAGATACTATTTTTTATGAATTGTTGATGGGCCCAATAAAGACAACATTCGTGCTTATCACGGGGTTCTATCCCCTATGTGGCTAAGTAATTAAATACATAAAAATATGAATGAATAGATAAGTACATACATAAACAAATACATTAATGAATAAGTAAATGAATAAAATTGATACAAAAGTAGATTAAATAAAACAACTTGTGATACACACATAAAACGCTCGTGTCTTGTGGCAGGTCGAACGATGACAAACAGAACAATTTATACATTTAATAAGTACAATACAACATATTATATGGACTCAAATAAATTTTTCTTTTTCTCTCACAAGGATGCCAGCACTAGAAATATTTCCAGATTAAAAGGATAGACTGTATTAGTGTTCTAAATAACACGAACAACTGATTTTAGCATAATTAGAATAACAAGTTTTAAAACTAAATAAAGTTACACTCACTGTTGTTATTGTGTGTATTCCGATGGTGTTATAGGCTGAATTATAAAGATGAAAGAAAATAAAACATGACAAATCGAAATGGCGAGTGATTATAATGTCTATTAAATGAATTGAAAACGAAGAAACAAAGACAAGAACAAAAAAAATTGATTCGGTCCCTAAAACCTCGAATACATTAACACCACAATTTGCCGACGGAGATATTGATCCTTTATGCTTATTAGTCAATGTTGGCACTAAATACAATTCTGTTATGCATCTGTTTTACAAAAAGGATTTTAACCTATCTTATCAAGCCAAACATCTACGCAACAAGTTCAATATGCACCCAGTATAAACATACTACTGAGAAGAAAAAAAAGGATGAATGAAAAACTTACTTTATATATCACACTAAATTATTGCCTTCATATTGCTCCATTTGCAAACATGTAGAAACGCTTCAGCTGAAATTTCTATTGCTGAGATCACTTTAGGAGACCACAAGTAAATAGTGTTGTCAATTTGCCGAGTGTGTTCCGATAATGATCCGTTTCAAAGAGGATACAAAAACTAATAACTAGCTGCTTGTAATTAGTATTTCTGAGGTGAATGCTTACTCATGTTTACATTATAAAACATTAACAGGTTTTGATCAAGAATTTGTCGGCTACTGCTATTTGAATGAAGAAGAGTGTTGCCGTTTTGCCGAGTAAAATTATATTCAATACGAAAATTAATCTATATCCAATTAATTAGCTGTCTGTTATGGCTATTTATGAGCGTAAAATGCATGATTTGTTTACACTGTGATATTAAAAGATTATGTTAGAGGCGTTGCCAACTATCGCAGCTCAAAGTCAAATGAATAACCTTTGCCCCCTTAATCGGCTAGTTTACATCTCATATTATCACTAGTTTCTGCCGGGCTGAAATGTTATCAATATTCGTACTAGCCCTTGTCTCAAGTCATATTCCGTTATCTCATTTTTAATTGCACGTACTCTCATGCATCTTAAACTTTGCCTCGTTAAGGCGAACGAACAGGAATGATTATCATTGTTGTGTACCGTAAGACAATGCAAAACATTATAATATTGTACGGACACGGGTATCAGTGGCAAAGCACGTCTTTTGATACAACTCTCCCTTGCTTTCAAAAAACACAAAACACAACAAACAAACCAAAAGGGGCAACAACAACAGCAACAAGATAATTAAATGGGTAATTTACAATCCTTCGATAAACATGTACCTAAATTTACAAATTTTCCCCACATAATGTTACTATTAAACTCATCTTAAAATTCATTATTAAGAACCACGTTGGTATATTTACTGAGAAACACATCGGCAATGACCCCTACTTGGATTCCAGCATTCCAATATGTGGATAATAAACTTCCTACCTGATTTTGTCGTAACCAACTGTAAGATACCTTTACTCCCTATTTTTCTTCTTCTTCTGTCTATGATTGACCCTTGCTCCTCACTTTCTCCCTATTCATCCTCCACCCCATCTCTCTTTCTCTATGTCTCTCTCTGTCTCTTTATCTGTCTCTCTGTCTCTCACTCTGTCTCTATATTGGTCTATTCTCCCCCCCCCCCTTCCCTCATTCTCTCCCTCTCTCTCTCTCTTTCTCTATATCGTCACTCTTTTTCTTGCCTCTGCTCGACTCTCCTGGGTTTTGTCTCGCTATTGGTATGCACTTTGTCCCTCCTTTCTCCCTCCCACTCTCTCACCCTCTCTCAAATACATCCCTCCCACCGCAACATATAACACCCCCCTCCCTCTTTCTCTCTCTCTCTCTCGTCACTCTCATCCTCGCCTCGATATTCTCGACTCTGCTGCTTTTCTTCTTGGTATTTGTGCGCACCCCCCTCTTTCTCTCTTCCACTTCCTTTCTTCCTCACAATCATAAGCACAAGCACACACACACACACACACACACACACACACGTACTACCACACAACCATTAACCATCAACGCACACACACCCACCTACACAATACGCACCAACCCGCACACGCTCTCGCACACAGAGCCCACATAATATACTACTTAGCTTTTATATAGCGCTTAATACAATGTCTCTAAGCGCTTTAGAAATATACTATTACCCCGGACATTAGATTCAGTGCTTACCCGCACATAATGTGTGCACATTCTCCACTCCCTGGGGAGCATTCCAGCCAGGCGTTACATGACCAACAATGACGGCCGCATCCTACTGGGTACCCATTTAATACCTAGGTGGAGAGTAGCAAGTGCAGGTTAATATCTTGCCAAAGGATATTATTGCCGTGTTGGGATTCGAACCCTCGAACTTCGCATTTCTAGTCAAGCGCCTTTAAACACTCGACCACGACACTCCCTATATACCGTCAACAAACACCCACAAATTATGTGGGCCTATTACATATCTAAATATACCACAGCTCAGACAACAGTTTTAAAAAGGCATGAAAAAGCAGTAGACGGCAAATAAGTGACCAATGTAATCATTTCGTGCTTTTCTTTTACATGCTCAATAGTGATAAGGAGAACAAATATTTTCAATATAAACATCTAGTTTCTGTAAGGTTCCGCCTTAATATCCGGAATCGTAGTGGTATTTCCCCCTTTGGATGAGGCAAATCTTCTAGTTGCAAAGCGGAGTCAGACACAATCTATCCCAGCACGTTGCTGGTTGTTTTATACATAGCTGGCTGGACATATGACGCAGCTTGAATCGCATCTGAGTGATTACCAGGTCGTTATACGCTTTACAAGATTTACGTTACCCCAATAGACGGATTTTCAACACAAGGAAATCAGAACACATCTGAATTTTAATTGTGAGACAAGGAGGAAACTTTGTGTTCTCGAGTCTTGGCAAGGGCTTTTGCCGGGGCTATTTTCGATGATTGAAGTATAGTTTGCAAAAAGTTTTCCTTCTGTCTAGGACGACCAGCGAAGGTATAGCCATGACTTAAATTTAGTAATTTGTCTTCACTAGGAGAGAAATACTAAAACATCACCAGTGGTTCAAAATTAAGCTTGGCCGAAACTTTCGTCTTGTTGGATAGTTTCATATAGGAAAACCCCCATTTTATAATCATGATAAATTAAATTTAAGACTAAATTTTGTGAAAAAGGAAACACTACTCCTGAATATGACAGGACTATTTCATCTTGCCTCGCTGATGTTCCCTAATTTCGATGAGTCCTTTTTGTTCATCTATGGATGATGTTGGCTCAACTTTATGTCTTCAGTGTTTTCAAGGTCCTGATCTTCACTAGACCAGCTAGATTAATGGACGCGCGATGCTGACCTAATATTGCATCTTCGTATCATGATTGGAGTTTGTGTACATAAAAAGAAAGAGGCCTATACCATCTAGTCCTCATTTAGGATTCACTAAATAGCCAAATGTGGAACCGTAAGCTTTTAATACCTGAAACACTGTCAATTACCAAACAAAATTAATAACGGCAGATCTTGTACCTAATCGAACCAAACCGTTGCAAATAGACTGATATTGCTACATGTTACAAAGGTGCGATTGGATTGTTTAGAAGATTCTTTTCGGAGCCTGCAACTTAATTTAGAGGCCTTTCTAGCGTGGATTTAGTATTGAAGACACTCCAGTACAGAGAATTCCTAATGGACTTGAAATGATGTATAGAGCAGAGGGCTCAACTAATCACTGAAAAACTTATTTTGCCTGTTTACTAGTGTGTTCACCTACATATTATGGCGTCCTTACTAAGTTGGAGGAATTCCTTTGCTGGACTCATGCTAGTATTGTTTTACAGAGTTGCTACAAGTAATGGTAAGTAACAAAAATGCACATTATTATCTATACGCAACGATGTGCCTTATAAATAACCTCCATTTATTTAAAAAGTATACTTGAATAGGAGAAATACAATAAGCTATACTGTACAACATAAGGAAAAAACACCCCCCCCCAAAAAAAAAAAAAAAAAAAAACATAGTATTTTTTTTTTAAAAGTCTATATTAGTCTAGGCTATACATATTACATATCCGAATATTTTTTTTGCGTAACGTAATTTTATACTAGCCTAAGTATCACATAAAGAGAGAATTTAATAAGCTTAGACACTTTTGACTGTTAAAAGCTCAAAAGTTAAAGCTCGAACCCGAATGTCAAGTTTGTGACATTTCTTTTGAAAAGAAATATCAGAATGTTCTGATTACATTTTAACTGTTTGACAATTCTAGGACATAACATTGGTGTCGGTATTTAATTCAGACTACCGCAGTGCTGTTGTGGAATGTTACAAGTCCATAGTGTTTCTTATAACACATGGTATGACGAAGGTCGCTTCTCTCATTAAGCCAATTTCGTAATGTATTTCAAATACATCTCTTTGTATTCCCTCGATAGATATTATTCATGCATCTGAATAATTGTATGACAGTATGCAAAATTACATGCATTACGCGTTGTTATGCCTGGATTAAATTTGCCCCCGGGCGCCGTATGATAAATTAGTCTACGATTTTTCATAGACATCGTAGGAGGCTACGGGCTACGATGTTTGTGTTTACATTATCTACGAGCATCGTGCCATTTATTGTATTGGCCCTCGGGGGCAGGCTGGGGCAAATCCGTACAGAGGCTGCTCGGAGATTGTACGGAAATCGTGCAATTTGCATGCAGTAGCCGTGCAGTCTCCCCAGCCTCCGCACGGAAATCATACGGAGCCCGTGCAGCTTCCGTGCAAAGGTTGCGCGGAGAAGGCGCGGTGACCGTACAGCAACCTTGCGATAGCTATGTAATTGCCGTGCGAATTCCCCATGAGTCTACAATCTCCGTACGATTTTCTTTGCCCCCATGTTCACCGAAAAATCGTACGTTTGCTGCACAATCAGTGCGAGGCCTCCGGGCGATGCCCGTGCGGGGATTGTGCAATGCCACCTACGACATGTATACGGGCTACGGGCTTACGATTTTTTTCAAATTTGTTTAACTTCTCGCGAAACAAAATCGTAAAGGCTGCGGAGCCCGTGAATCCGTACGAAAATCTCACGGCCGCCTTCTGCCACCGCACAGAGGCCGCACGGAAAAGGGGATACGGGCAGGATACGGGCTCCGTAGACTAATCGCAGGCCAAATGTAATCCAGGCATAGGTAGGTTTTATTGATGGCTTGATTCTCGTGCAAACATGTAGAAACACATATCCAACACATGCAAATCTGCCTTTTATATGTTATACAATCTCCGTCACATTCGTCGATACTAAGACCGGAAAACATCGAATTTAATAGCAGTAGGCTTAATTATTGTAATTGATTATTGTTTGGCTTGCCATTTTACAAATAATCAAATTGCAGAATGTTCAGAATGCATGTACGAGACTTGTATCTTATACCCCATTCACAGTGGCCTCAAACACCGCGACAGCAGCGGGACTGTCCCGCTGCTGTCGCGGTGTTGTCTTCAGTGTGAAGGCTCGGACCCGTTATAAACTATCGCGGGATAACACCGCCTCGCGATAACGCCGCGACAAACTATCGCTAGGTTCGCCTAGCTACAGCAGCGGGACAGTCCCGCTGCTGTCGCGGTGTTTACTCAGTGTGAAGGCTCTCCGCTATAACACCGCGACAAACACGTGTGATTTGTTTACTTACCTATCACTGGCCTCTTTTCTCCAGCAATGGGGAACATAAAGTGAAATAGAAATAAAGTAACCAGTGGATTCAAATTGATTTTATTATTATGTAGATATTATAATTATCCAAATAAAAATATTTCACACTTCAAAAAATTAAAATATTCTGACTGGAAGCAATAAAAATGCTAGTTTTTTAAAAAGTAATATGATCGAGGATACAAAAAGCAACTTGACATGTTTACGCGCTGAAGTATTTCCGGTCATGTCGGGGTCACTCGCGGGTCATGAGCCATGCATACACGTGTTTGTTACGGAGGTAATAAAAATCACCCGCTGCAGCGTGAATGGGTACATGATATTTATCCCGCTGCTGCAGCGGGATAACTTTTCTACTGTGAATGCAGTTGTAGCGGTGTTATGGCGGTGTCGCCGCTCCGCTACAACGCCGCTACAAATTTCAAAACCACTGTGAATGGGGTATAATTCCACAAAATGTTCCTCTATTACACATGTTTTAACCAGGGACGTGATAGAGAAGGACTGGAATCAAGCCGCTCTCCTTTGACCCCATGCTCCAAGCCGCCGAAAAGTTATGCGCTAATCTGCAACTGTTGACCAGGTGGTGAGATAAAAGAGCGCATGAAATTTCAGGAGTTAGAATTCCTACATCAGAAAATGGTATCACTGCAACTGTTCGCTGTCCCTTCCAATGATTTCTCATCCATTGTTGAATGTGTAAAGAGTAGAACAAGCGAACACAAACTTGTGTACTTTCATCCTTTTTTAAACTTGAAAAATAAAAAAAAAAACACGCGAAAACACGCATTAGCAAACTTAATGTTATTGAAGATTGTAAATCATGGATCAAATAACGGGACATTAAAGCATGCACAAATTAGCGCATCATCCTAAAATATTGAGTTTTTGACAGGATGTAATTTTTCTTTTACCAACTCTGGCACACAAATTAAGGGAAGGACGGAGTTCTAATTTGAAAATTTGTTTGCTGCACTATTCCCAATAAAATCCCCATATAAAGTTTTTGATTTACACTGAAATTTTGCCGGTAATTTAATATTTTGTAATAAATGTAAAACTGGTGCCTGGCTTCCGAAAGTCCCCGCAGTGGAAGCGCGGTTCGGAGCATGGAACTTCAAAGCCAAGTGGAATGTTACACATCCCATTGTTACGCTTTAGAACTCAAGAATGCGTTTGAATAAATTACAAGAGTTTCGCCTCCTTTTCTTTCACCTCCCTGTTTTAACTAAGGTTACATTGGTTGCCAATGAGGCATAGTATTGCATGTGAGATACTTTTGCTTGTTTACAAGGCGTTGAGTGGTATTTGAAAGGGTATTTGTCCGCAGAAAGTGTGTAAGAAGGGTGATTCGATGAAGGGTCGTGAATGTGGAAAGGGATATTCTTTTTAATCAAGTTGTGGAGAGCAGATGTAACCGGTGTGTTGGCTCAGTCAGTAGAGCGTCCGCCTCATAACCGGGAGGTCGTGGGTTCGAACCCCGGCCGCGTCATACCAAAAGACGTTAAAAGACGGAAGTTGCTGCTACCTGTTTGGCGTTCAACAATTAGTGGACAGAGCAACCTCGATCTGGCGCTGCTCGGTGGCTGCCGGGCTCACGATCAATTGGGCGAAAAGAATTTCATTTTCGGTTTAATAAAATTTGGAGTGGACTAAAGGATTATTATTATTATTAATTTCATACTGCTGTTCATGTGCATCCGCAGGTAACCTCCATGCAGCTGCAATGATTAACCTTTATTATAAGCTATAGCAAAGTGGGAGTTATCTAAATTATTTTTCTTCAATCCTTGCCAAGTTTTTTTTTTATATAGAACATCTGTTTGTAGTTTGCTTGTTACCTCCGAACTTTCTTTATCCATTAGCAATAAATTACATTTACAAACGATGAAAAACATGGTATGAAGAGGCGGAAAGGGTGAGGTACTTCCTACTTAAAACAAAGTTCATTATTCTGTCATCATCAAAACCTCAGTTTTGTTATCTCTTAACAAGACTGATGTTTTGTTTGGAAGTAAAAGTGTTTTAGTTTGCATTTTTCTGTCATCATGAAACTAAAAATAAATATATTCGTATTCTTTTCCAAGGGATATTAATTCTTTTTTTCCGTGTTTCGAAAAGCGAAAATGAAAAGAGATTTGATTGTTTTATGAAAATGTTTGTAAAATTGTTCTATATATATATATATATATGAGGAAGAGCTGGACAGCCATGGACCCTTTTCCGTATAAATAAAGAAATATAAAAAGCACGTAGCCATTAAAAATTGTGCTCGATTAGAAGGAAGGAAAACTAAATTGACAATATTCCACATCATAAAGGATGGCGCTTCCCCATTCCACTTTCTGGCAAGGAGCTATACAAATCTGTCCAACAAAAGCATTTTCCTAGCCAAGTTCTGTATGGGCATAATGATGCATAACTAAAACAACATGCGTGTACAAAATGCCTTTGCTTTAAAACGCATGTACTATAAACTATATTGATTCTATCTAAATTCGTCAAAGCGGCTCCGTTTGAATTAAATAGTTGCTTTTTTAAGGCCTATTCTACAAATACATGTAGAGACTTGCATGTCAAAAATATCTGGGTACTTTATTCGACACTGTACTGAATTTAAGAGTTGATTTTAAAATGATTGAAATCGAGCTTTCTATAATTATCACTAGATATATTTAACCATTAAAGACATTCCAATGCACTGGGGGGTGGGAGCGAATCAACGCAAATACCCCGAATCAGCTGATTAAAATCTACCAAGCATTCGAAACGTACCCTAGATACCTCATTAACCCATTTATTTTGGGATTTGTTTAAATTTACTCTCGAATTTTAATATCAATGCAACAATTACATTAATGTACATTGGGCTTTTGGTCCTACTCCTTCATGTTCAATTGTGATGTTCAAATAGCACATTTGGCCTACCTCATAATAATCATGTTTCTTATGTTGTATTACGTTATCAATCCCCATAATTGTTTTAAAGAATGTATTAAACCCGGGAACGTATGGAGTTCATCGTTTGCAAGAGTGCCATTGCTCTCCACGTAACGTCTGTACCAAGGATACAGAGTTGCAGTTAGTTATCATTTGAAACGCATTCCCTGCTTGTGT